AGAAAAGAAAAGAAAAGAAAAGAAAAGAAAAGAAAAGAAAAGAAAAGAAAAGAAAAGAAAAGAAAAGAAAAGAAAAGAAAAGAAAAGAAAAGAAAGTCAAAAGAAAAAAGAAAACTGAAACACTTCTTTCAAATCACAGCTGAGCCCACTCAAAGGAGCAACTGTTGATGGAGCATCTTCTTGAATAAGAAACTGGGGATAGATCAATAAGATCTTGATACAGGGTGAAATACTGGGGGCTGGGGTTGTTGTTGCTGCTGCTGTCCAACACAAAGGATGTTGGAACCAACAACATCATGACTGGAAAACACTTCCACCAGACCGTAAATAAAACTGGAACTTCATGGTATGTAGCATATACTGCAGGGGTTGTTCTTCAAAGGTCTTGGTTGAATACTGGAGGCTGGGGTTGTTGCTTTTGCTGTCCGGAACAAACGCCGGAAACTTCAACACTGGAAGATACTTCCTCCAGTCTATATGAACTGGGGATGGATCTAGCTGAGGCTAACTGCCACCAGCTGGGGACAGGGGGTGAATGATATCAATTTAAGTTGTAGTGGTATAGGCTTGGTGAAATGTCTTGAAAGGAGGCCAGGGAGGAGGATTTTCCCCTTCTGAAGGGGATGCCACCACGGTTGGATGCCGGATGGTGCAGATCAGGTATGTATGGGTGCACAATGTAGTAGGAATCAGTAGGAAATCTAGGTGATAATTTTCAGAACTGAATTGTAATTTTGTGCGGTTGAAAAAAATTGTTTTGAAAACTATCGTATAGAGTTGGCAGGCAAATGCACGCACCAGTCGTACCTTTTGGGCCATCTAATTACCGTGTAATGACTCGTGGGATTAAAAATTTCACTTGTACTAGGCCTACAGTGTGCACGTGCGAGCGAAACTATTTTGCACGTGCGTGAAACTATTTGGTCACATGAATGTGGGATTCAAAAATTCAGCACATGCCCCGCTGTACCTGTAGTACAAGTCAAAATTTTAATCCCACGAGTCATTACACGGTAAAAAGATGGCCACTTCTTATCCACGCACAGTACAAAAAACATGTAGGGCATTAAGAGAGGTTCAACTCACTCAAACAGCTTTAACTATTCCCCCAACGGACGCTTAAGTATGACGATAAGCACATGGTTAAAAAGAGAATTCAAAGAGCTTTCGAATGCGGTGGGGGAGTACGGCATCCGACAAATATTGACTGATATATGTTTACGTATATATTGAATTGCTAATGTACGACTGGTGCTTCTTTTTTTGCTTGGCCAACGCTATACGATATCTTCTACTACCTCCTAGTTCCAATAGTACCTTCAATAACAACTCCACTCTCTTGGCGAAAGATGTCTTCTCCTCCTGGTGACAAATTTCTTTTGTTCTCCTTCTTGTTGCAACAACAACAACAAGTACTAACAAGTACCACCACTTCTATTTGTACCACCACTATTCTTGTTAGTACCGGTACAATTAAATACTGATACTATTCATTTTACCTGATTGGCTATTCTGGATGACATGTGTACTTTTCTGAAAATTTAATGTGCATATTAGAGAGATGAAAAATTCCATGATATCAAATCCTAATATTACTACCATAGTCACCATGCTAGTACTATTACACTTAATTATTTACAATTAGCTTGTAGCTAGTACTACCAGTCTTGTAGATGTGTTGTATTAGTAGTAGAAACCACATTCTTCACTGATGGTGCTGTGATGCTTCATTGTAAGGTACTAGCTATCTTTGACTGTTTACTATTGGTAGCAGTTAGTCAGATAGCAACAAGAACTTGACTATCAAAACCATTTGCAAGATGATTAAAGTGAAGTATTACTACTACTTGAACTAGTATGATTGATTTATTGAATAGGTTCCTGAGGAATGAGAAGATGAAAAATTATTTGTTCCTTGGAGAGATTTCTAATAATTCTTGTTGCACAAAATGAACATAAAATTCAGTTGGTTTGGCCCCACCAGTACTAGTAGTAGCAATAGGAATAGGGATGTTACTTGTGATTTGACAACCATATACATGTCATTTTCACCACTGTTTTCAGTGGATGATTGGAATATTCTTCTTTTGTAGTATGATCAAGGCAAAAATAGTACTTAAACATTTCAGGAGAACTGTCTTGTTTATAGTGCTTGACCATTAGTAGTAACAGGATACTATTAGGAAAAAACAACTTCATGACATATTATTTATCATGATAGTTGAACCATGAGGGATACTACTACCTCCTATGAAGAGACATAACCAGCAAATAAAAAAATTTGGGTGGGCTGTTATTAGTAGTAATTAAAGTATTCTTGTCATGTGGTCTCTGACGCAACCAACTGTCCCATGCAAACTACTATGAACAAATATTTCCACTAACAAATCTCTAGCCCAAACAAACCCTGGTCACACCTCCATCAACACTCCTAGGAGGGAGGTGCCGCCCCTCAGAGCAGCTAGAAGCATACTTTCCACCAAAAGCTATGGTTCTGGCCATATAGTGCCTCTTCTGGTTCACAAGGTTAAAAATAATATTAAGATTTTTTTTATTCTTGTCATGTCATGGTAGTAATATGGCAGGTTCTGGAGGAAGTTTCAAGAGAGGCCAGGGAATCATCTATTCTGTACTAATTATGCTATTATTCTACTATGATATTGTTCTACTAAGCACTTACTATGACTAAAGAGATAGATTAATTTTGCCATTCTCCAAAAGTGATTCTATTGTGTTCTTGCTGCTGGAATCTGCTGCTACTGTTAAAATATATGTTATTGTCCAATGATAAAAGCTAGAACACCCTTCACATGAGTGATTTTCATAGAATCAAATCTTTATGGCAAATTCTTGTCACCATTATTCTTGTCCTCTATCTAAAATCAATGCTGGTAATCATTCAGAAATGTTCCCTTTTCTATCTGGTGGTACTAGTAGTAGTTGTTGTCAGATAATGAAAAATGCAAGAAACAGGAAGCTTTTCACCTGTTCTCATTGATAGTTTTCCCTCACCAAAGTCTGCGTATTCTGTTTGGTTGCACCACCAGTGGCTGCCCGGTTCAATGTTTCACTGAACTTAAATTTGCTTGGCAAGAAAGTTGTACATATACCAAAATTAATACCTCCCATTCTAAAACAATTCCTGTGAAATAATTCAACACTCCCACCCAAGCAAGAAGTAGTAGAAGTGTTTCTATACTACTTGTATTACTAGGAGGTGCCCACTGGTACTAACATCATCATAGCACTCTTAAAATGCAATACTATGATCAGCATATCACATGAAGAGAAGATTGGTGACTGCTACTACTAGTGCAACTAGTAATACTAGTGATGTATTTTGGCAGTTGCATAATCATCCAACATGCCACTAAACAAACAAGAATGGTATTATTTTCCAACACGTTTTATGAACTAAAGTTTGAAAAAATCTCTTTTTGGTTGCTTTCTTCAACTTTTTTGTAACCAATTGATGGGATTTATAGCAGGTGTGTCCTTTCCAAGTTTTGGTTTGTGTTATGGCCAGATTGATCACAGAAGAAAGTGCAGAATATTTTGGAGCCATCAAATGACATACTTTTGTCTGTATGATGCATCAATGAACAACTTGTTGTAGGCTAATTGGTGATATGTTTGGATTCAAATTCTTCTCTTGAGCTATATGATGAAGTTCCTCCACCACTTTTCTCTGCCGGTATCAGTATCACCTCCTTGCATGATTTTTAAAAAAAATGTAATATTATGTTTGACCTTGTGAACTAGAAGAGGCACTATGTTGGCCAGAAACACAACTTCTGGGGAGAAGAATGCTCCCAGCTGCTCTGAAGGGTGGCGCCTGT